ACAATGCGAATATATATCTAAACATATACATATGAAAGGAAAACAAAAGTAATTAGAAAATTTCAGAAAAAAATTTTATTGTAAAGAAAACAAATAACAAGAAAAACATCTAAAGATTCAATAAAATGCCTCAGTAAGTATGAATTAATGAACGTGTTTTTGTCGATATTTCACTTCAGCGATTATATTCAGTGGCGATCGATCTCTTAATACTCATTAGCAAGTCAATGGTAGGAAAGTTTTTGCTCGATGAGAAAGACGAACCCAACTTTCATTCGATCTTTCGTTCGACATTCGCTTGCTTTGAAACGAAATCATTCCGTAAACAAATGTTTTATTTCTCTCACTCAACCAAAAACAAATCCCAGCCATAGGAAAGAAAAACATTATTTCGTTTGGTTTGGTTAATGATATTTTCTCATTTGTTCGTTCGGTCTATACAGCAATCGGATTTCTGCTTCGATATTTGTGATATTTTGGAATAATATCGGTTTAATTTATTTCATATTTGCGCTATACGAGTTCAATTCTTAATTTATCTATCTAGTTAATCTATATTTACTTAGGCAAAGCCACGACGCTGGTATATATGCGATCAGAAGGAAAGAACAAATAAAAGAGAGATACGGCAACAGTTCATTACTTTAGCGTTGCCATCACTTTCATCTTTGCCGGGTTACCATCTTCCTAAATGTGTTTCATTTCGAACTTTCAACTTGTACTTGGGGCAATAGTTGATCTTTTTTTTTTGTTTTTTTTTTTTTTTGCAAGAAATGTTCTCGCATCGATCCCGAAAATTTTAACTGCAAGTCAAAACTTTTAATGTCTATCATCAATTCAGGAAAACGTCTGTATATAGTAATTGACGTTTATTACCTTCAAGTCGGAAACAAATTAGTATATTTCTTGAATCTTAGTCATCCTATTCCGCGACATGATCAGCCTATTTAAGTTGGATAAAAAGCAAATCCAACTCGAAAATGTTAAGTCAACGCAAGCTCGATATTTTTACAACGTTTCGATATATGTAAAGTATTTCTAAAGGCAGTAGTCATTTAACACAGCAGTTTAATGGCATGAAAAAGATGTTGGTTTCCACACTTTTTGGAACTGCCACCCACTGAAACATTAAATGAGCGCAATTGCATGACTTGATGTGTTTATTCATTCTTTATGCTGTTGTTTACACAAGTATTCTTAATCGCTTGTTTTTAACTTAATGTTTCTATTAAAAGGGCTGATATAGAAAACAAAAGTCTAAGCCTTTCTTTTCAGGTGACATTTTACAAACTCTATACGTCTGTGCGAATACAGTAGGAATATCGTCTTCCTTTTTTAACTATCGAATCATAAATTTAGGAGGAATATTTTAACAGGTGCTTGCATGCATTTTGATCAGCTTCATTTATTGGTGAAAATGATAAAGTCACGCGAAGTATCAATGTAGACAACGTTTAAATTCGATTATTTTGACCTTGCTCTACATAAAACAACAGTTATCCATTTAGTATTATTAAGTTATTCAGCGTGTACAGACGTCAGTTATGGAACGGTTAAAACTGCATTTTTTACAAAAACTTTCGAACAGGTTAGCTCTTGAACTGTTTCTAGACGTTTACATGCGATGGGAAAGACTCAAAAGGAGGGAAAATGGCCACCGCACGAATTGACTGAAAATGCCATTTCGAGTCGTCTCAATATAGCGGCTTCTTTGCTTTCAGGCAAAAAGAGAAAAGCTTTCTATGACGTGTTGTCACTGCTGATGAAAAATTGGTCTACTATGACAATTCTAAATGTAAAAAGTAACGAGTGAGTCCAGTAGAGCCATTCACATCGACACCGACGCTGAATATTCATAGCCACAAAGTTTTGCTGTACATAGGGTGAGATCAGCAAGGTGCAGCTTATTAAGAGTTGCAAAACCGAATAAAAATGTGACTGTAGGTGTCCACCGACATCAACTGTACAAATTGAACGAAGTAAAAGAGACTAGCAACGGTGGTTAACGGACGTAAGGCCATCCTCATGCACGACAATGCTCATTCACACGTGGCCATAGTCGTCAAGGACACACTTTTGCTGTACAAATTGAAAGTTCTGGCGGAATCAGCATTCTCACCAGGCATAGTGTCTTCTGATTACCACTTGTTCAGATCGATGCAGCCTGGCTTGGCTGGCTGGCTGGCGGGTCCACAAAGTTGAAAAAGGGCGAAAATGGGTGGATGATTAGAACGCTGCCAGACCAATGTCCTTCTTTCGACACGGTACTGCCATGTTGGCAAACAGATAAGAAAAACTTGTTGAAAATGATGGGAAATAGCTTGATTAATATAAAATATATTGCACTAATTTTTTTCTGCCTTTTGCCACGTGAAAAAAATGATCAAAATACATGCAAGCGTTTAACATTTTCCTACGCCAATATTTAGGGCATTGATTGTTCGAACAACGTCATCAGTGTCTCTAATCGATTAAAAATGTATTCGTTTCATGGGATTTGGAACACCAAAATCTACAGACCAAATAAGGAAAAGTGAAGAGACAATTCTAACAATGTCAAATAAAATTCCTGACTAATTGATTTAATTGACACAAAGAGTCAAATATGAATATTAACGACTACAAGGATTCACAGCAATAATGAAACACAGATAATAACTTTTATGCATGATATATACGAAATTTATGCAGCACAACATATGCGTAGACGAGTAAACATTATTATTTGAAATTTTCTCGTCTGAATTTTGAATCCAAAAACCACAAAGAAGAAGAACCATCTATTATTTGTCCAACCGTAAATTTTCATTAAATTCTGTGGGTGGGATTTTTAATATTTAATAACAATAACGCATTTGCTTGATATGAATCACAATTTTTTGACGGGTATTTTGCACACAAATCTTTAAAATAGAAATGATTTTATACAAATCAAAAATTGCTATTAAAATATTAAAAATTAAATTTTGCATTTGTTCTATTGCTTAAGCCGAGTTAAATACATTTTTAAAAATGATTTTAATTTTTGAATAAACTATTTTTTGTAAAGTTCGAATATCAGCGAAATTTAATTCAATCTTGTCGTTCGCCGTTCAATACATCTCTCTACTTTCTAGTAATCACGTCGGCTGAGTCTTCTTTACGCAGCAAACATATTTGTTTACACATAAATACATCTGTGGAGCAATAATAACATTATGAATGATTTTTTGTCATATCTTTTTTGACAACATTGGAACTTCGTGTCAAGAATAACTTACTTTTGAACAATACTGCCGCAGTTGAACTTTTTTTATTTCTTGGTTCATTTACTATGAACAATATTAGTTAAAATGCAGCCAATACAAATTAATCTTACAAGGAAGTGCAATGAGATGAGCTCTGCTGAGAAGAAGAAGACATACCTCTATAAAGAACAAAGTTAAATACCGACAAAAATATAGGCACCAATTAAAACGCTATACAGGCAGAGATAATGCTTGGCGTAATTGCAGTAGCTCTAGTCGATACAATTTGACAGTGGCGGTTCTAGTGCTATTAAGAAGGCTCGTGGTGGATCTTTTAATTCTATAAAAAGGAATACTAACGTTATCCTAAAATATTAGGATACAGGTACCAAACGTTATACAGGCAGAGATATTGTTTGGCGTAATTGCAGCAGCACTAGTCGGTATAATTTGGCAGTGGTGGTTCTAATGCTATTAAGAAGGCTCGTGATGGACCTTTTAATTCTATAAAAAGGAATACTAACGTTATCCTAAAACATTAGGATACAGGTACCAAACGTTATACAGGCAGAGATAATGTTTGGCGTAATTGCAGCAGCTCTAGTCGGTACAGTTTGACAGTGGCGGTTCTAGTGCTATTAAGAAGGCTCGTGATGGATCTTTTAATTCTGTAGAAAGGGAATACTAACTGGTATCTTAAGATATTGGGATATAGGTACAAAACGCTATACAGGCAGAGATAATGTTTGGCGTAATTGCAGCAGCTGTAGTCGGTACGGTATGTCAGTGGCGGTTCCATTATTCTTAAGAAGGCTCGTGGTAGATCTTTTAATTTTATAGAAAGGGATTACTAACTTGTGTCCTAAGATATTATGATATAGGTGCGGGTTCAGTTGGTTAATAAAATTGATCCACAATAGTAATTTCACACAAAAACTCTATAGAATTTGGCTCATCACACCTGTTTTTGGCTTCTGCCCTACGTAAAATTTAAACTTTTGCGACATTAGATTGTGCTTTAGGTCCGTTTCCCGATGAATGCGCACTTGAAAAATATGTATTTATATAGAAACAAAATAGCTATAGTTTTTGTGTTCTATAATAAAAATAACAATTGTGTTAGACAATGTGGTGTAGATTGGCCATGCGCGACTCTAATGTTCTCACTTATTCTTTTTTGCTATTGTTAAGATGGATATTAGAGCAGATGAGTTCGCGTAATTCTTCCTCCGCTATATTTAATATATACATTCCCCATCAAAATCTGCCAGCCGGTCTGCCGCTGTTCAGCATTTTGTTATCAGTGCAGAGAAAGAACGAACAAATCTTTCCCCAATGCACTCTTCAAGGCGAATTGGAAAATTAGTGAAAGTACTCCTTAAATACGTGGACAATTAGCAAAAACTTTGCAATTCATTCCCCTATAGTAAATATCTCCACGATTCTAAAACTTAGAATGTCGTAGACATCCCGTGGTAGGTATAAAGCAAGACTCGAAACAATTCATTTTATTTATGGGACTAACCTATTTCAATTCGTATCTTTTGATGATTCTTCTCTTTGAATAGCCGAAATCTGTGACGTGAGTGTACTCGCTTTTTGCAGAGCTCTCTAAGCTTTCGCTTTCTTCCTTCGTTCCTTGAAATTGTAAGTAAATGTCAGGCTAATTTTAAAAATTATTTATAAAAAATATTTTTATTACAAATATACAATAAAAGATCAGTATTGTTTACGAGAGTACTTGATTAGTGAATACATGCATGCAGAGTTGCATTAATGCCAATGGAAAGCCACGTGCGCTATCAATAAATATGTCGAAGCCATAATAAGGTTGCCTATCATTACCAAAAAGCCTACCTTAAAATAATCGATGAACGTAAATGAAATGCCATGACTATTAGCTACGCCTGCGCAAGCGATATTTGACATGGCACCAATCAAAGTTCCGTTACCACCCAGTGAGCAGCCCAATGCCAAAGCCCAGATTAAAGGATTTAATGGTAAATTTTGATCGCCCGATAGTGTTACAATGACTTGTAGCATAAAATCAGCTACTGGTAGATTGTCAAGAATGCATGTAAGTAGAGCTGAGAGCCACAAAATCGTGATAATGGCCACCATTAAAGCGTTCTCCTTGTCGAATGAGGATATAAATTGTCCGACACCGGTTCCAATCGATTTCATTAAAGCCAATTGTTTGAGAACATTCATTAATATGCAGAGACTACATATAAAGAGCATAGTACCCCAATCAATTCGCGAAATTACACTTTCTAATTCCTCCGGATTAATTAAAGAGAGCATTAAGAGAGCGGCAAGTATAGCAATCCAACCCACCGACGCATGTATAAGATAGGTATATAGGTGCAACGAAAACAATAACAGTACGACTATTAGCGACACGCAGCAAATGATAATGAAATCTTTTCCTTGAACTTCAAAATGATCCCGTAAATTTTGTAGTTGCTCTCTGAAATCAGATCGTGGTTGCGGCATTTTACCCAACCGTTTTAAACGTTTCTTCAATGCACGTACGCGCGCCCTGACTGTCTCATGATAATCGCGCTCATCCAGTGAAATGTCACCTACTGTAGTAGCAGCCTTATCCCAAAGTCGTATTTGACGTTTTAAACTGACTTCAGCCGTATGCGTATGTCGCATTTTATCCGAATTGATAAATTGTATCCGCAAATGAAGGTACGATTGAGCGGCCGTTAAAATCGTAGCCGGCAGCATATGCAAAATAAAGGTCGGGGGATCAATATTTCCAGAAGGTAAATACGGGCTATGCGCTATCAAATAATTGCTAAGCGAACCCATCGGCGTTAGAGTGGAGCCAATATTTGTGGCTATAGTTAAACAGATTAACACTGGTATAGGACTTAAGACCATTATCTCGGACATCCGCAAGCAAATAGGTGCAAGAAATAATATTATCATAATATTGTTATAGAAAATGGCCAAAGTTAACGAAGTTATTAGTAACACATTTAACATCGGCCAAATATGGCCGTAAGCCAATTCGTAGCCAGTCGCGGCAAGATAATCTTGAACACCTGTCTCCGCCATTACACCCATGATGACAGAAATGCCGAAAATCAACAAAATCGTATCGATGTGTACCCAAGAAAATATTGTTTCCAAATCGGGTTTCATATGTAGAGCACCCATTATACCGATACCCAGCGTGCACGCGATTAATCCTGCCAATGTTCGATGCACCAAATCGAATATCAGAAGTATGTAAATTGCCAGTAGCACTACACCCAGTATGGTGCCCAATAATTGAGTGAACAGTGTAGTTCGTATGTGTAGTTCCAGTCCTAATGACTGATTAACGTTGGTAAAAAAAACGATGTGATATTCATACAAATTAGAGTCCAAGTCAACATCTTCCATGAGTACATCGCAGGTGGACAAGTCAACGCGATCCATTTTCTCACCCCAAATAGGGTAACGTTGGGTTAAAGTAACGTTCACCTGCGAATCGGTCGACTTACTGGTCCGACTTAATGTAATACCTAAGAAAGGAGTACCATCTTCTTCAAATTGAGAAGACGTAGGATCCAATTTAAATGAACTCATTTTGAATGCGCCTGTCATGCTCAAAGCCAAATTGCGTTCATAGGAATGTGCTTCGACCTTATAATATGTCGCATCTCCCGGGGTTACTGTTAACATATATGTCTCTGTTTCTGCCTCGTGTGAACCCATTAAACAACAGGCGATCACCACCCAACAAAAAATTAAAATTGCAATTTTTATATAACGCGGAAATTTTCGCAAAATGAGAAGTTTGCGGCTCGGCGATTCGACTTCAGTTTCGACCTCAGCTGCAATCGTTTCCGCCGCTGCAGTGGGCGTAGGAGGAGCAGCACCGCCTTTCAGGCGACCTTCTGTCTCTTGAAAATTAATACGCCTCCTGGCTGCAGCCGAAGTTGGGACTGATGTTGTGCTTCCGACATCCGTAATATTTACATCGCTATACATACGTTGCTCTGCATCATGGGCAAAATTTTGCCGGCTCATCGTATTCGTTCAATATGATTAAAAAATTAAAAACTATTTTTTTCAAAACAGGAAAGAATTTCTTCGTTTTAAAATTAATTTTCTTTTCAATGCAAGCTCAATGAGAACTTTTTTTAAAAGCAAGAAAAAATATTCCCAAGTATAGAAAACTGTAAAACTATATTTTCTATAAATTATTATTTATTCATTTTTTTTTTTTTTAATTCATTTTATATTAATTGAATGTTTAAAATGCATGAACATATAAATATTGAGAAAAAGGTGTCTTGTTTGTATTGTTTCAAGAGAACTTGTTCTTAAAACAAGATGAAGCTTTCCCATTGTACAGTGCAGTGGTAGTTGTGTCTGTGGTCTGCACAATTCGTAGTTATTTAAATTTATCGATTAAGCATCGGTTTCACATACTATTTTTTATACCCACCACTGTAAGGTGGGATGGAAGGATACACCCATTTTGTTTCTTTTCCCAAAATATATGTAACACTCGAAAGGAAGCTTCACAGACCTTATAAAGTATATATATATTCTTGATCAGAGTGAAATTCTGGGTTAATTTAGCCAAGTCCCTTCGTATGTGTGTTTGTGTGGTGTGTAGTTGGCATTCTCCTGGTTGCAAAGATGAAGATATCGACTTCAAATTTGGTAGAAACATTGAAGGTTTCTGTACGCAGGTTTGTGTTAAAAATGGGCCAAATTAAACAGAGCAGAAGCGCGCAGCGGAGTGTAAACCGAACGCAACTCAGTTTTTTTTGACAGAAATTTTTGAATCTTTGCCTAATTTTGTATTTAAAATATAGCAAAATTGAGGTTAAAGATCAGTAGTTACGTTTTTCATATCCTTTGATGCTTACAAAACAATTACGATAGCTAAACAACAAAGGAAAAAGAGCACAACTTTATAGTCGGGCTCGGTCGATCATTAAATACTTTAGACCGTTTCGTCTAATAGAATTCCTCATCCGCCTTAACCAAAAAACTGGAAAGTTTTTTACATTGTTGCCATGCAGAGTCGTACTTTCACTGCCAATCCACTATCATAAGGAAAGGTAAATGTGTTTCAAGGCCTTCACGTTGTTGACTGAGTACGTATATATGTAGTATGCTCTTATCGGAAGTGGTGTAAGGCGTAATTACGCGGCATGCGTTTATAACTTTCTCTGCTCGGCACTTTGGTAAACATAGGTGTTGTTAAGTTAATAAATCTAAGATGTGAAGAAGAAATATATTCAATAAAGCAACGACAAGGAGCAGTATGAAAGTATGAAAGCCAAAATAATTATATTTAGCGACAGAGTTTAAAAAAAACGATCTGGTCGACATAAATTGAACATAAGCCAATTCCCAAGTTTCCCTTTCTTCGCACTCTTTACTTACATGTGTCTTTCTTATATCATAGATTTAAGAGAGACTGTCTCCACTGTATTACTAGCGGGCCAAAGAAGGCAGTGCTGCTTGGCATATCCCAAAGTTGCTTAAATTCTATGACCCTGCCTTAATGGCCAGACATTAAACGATTATCATGCCTGTCCTGTGTCTACAAAGCAAACATATCTCGGAGTGAGGCTGCTGTCGTTTGTTCTATAGCCACAACTCGAATGATCTGAAGGAATGATGATGTAGATTAAGGTCAACTGCCGTTGCGATTTCCGACCACGCTGTGAAAACTGTGTGAAACTGTGTACGCCAACAAACCAAGAAAGACTTATGCAACCTGATGATATCGTTCGTCGTGCATAGATTTTGAAATTTCATTAAAAGAAACCATATTTTGTTATGGATGTAGCCAGAAATGATTTGCCTTTTCTTTTTTTTTTGAACACTAATCATCTGCTCAGTGCATCAATATATATTTATTTATTTTTTTCGATTTTTTTGCACTTTTCGTTTACCTCCATAAAACCTAAAAATATCTATCGATTACTTAAGAAAATAGCCATAGAGGATAAGGTATTCAACCTGAAAAATTCCTCCTTCTTTTTAATATCCTTCTTATGACCTTAAAGAATAGTTTGGATAAATAGACTTTCTGGTGCACATCTTTTTCTCTTCGCTCTCTTAACATTAAAATCAGTAATCAGCTAAAGCCCACAAAAGAAAGTTTGACAAACGAGCGACAGATGTAAGTCTGATTTATAATGAATACTTAAACGTCAAGCTATTGCCAAACTGGATGAAGATTTGATTTCAACTATTTTTATTCATATGCTATATATAACACCGCTTGTTAATAAATTTTATCAGAGAGAACGAAATACGTAGATGTTCCCACATTTTGTTCAAAACTGAGATAAGAAGATTCTTGGGGACTTTTTATGCGTCTGTCATCAATAGCAATAGTAAGGCTGTTAATTAGCAGTCTTTTATATGCTTGCTCTTTCAGTCCCATTATTTGTATGGGCAAAGATTCTGTCAGAAGGACTTATGTGAATATGGGTTACGATGTGCCTAGAAGTGTGTATTTAGGAAAAACGACCGAAAAGCAGATATTTCTATAGCAAATATAATATATTTCCTTTTCATGTGGTGTCTTTTGAAGAATTCTAGATTCCATGTTCACCAATTGCTTTAAGTAATTTCAATGAATCGATATATATGAAGAAATTTTTTATTATTAGAAAAAGTTATGTTTGAACTAAGATTATAAAGAGAACTTACGACGACTGCGGTGACCATGGACACCACTTACTGGACTTTACGTTAAGAGTCTTATTTCGAATTACTTGGCCCAACACTTGAAATTGCATAAGCTAGGATTTAGGGCTAATTTTTAAAAATTTTATTCATTTCTCTAATTGTAATACTAATAATAAAATATAAAGAGACGTTTTGTGGAATTGAATGCAATATGTCATAGTATGTATGCCTAAGTGGACAAAATTAGGTAAAGATAAATATAATGCACTACAACATAATTTCTTTGATTGATAAAAAATTTCTTCACATATCTTGATCATTGGCGGATATGGAATTTAGAACTTTTCAATTCTTCTATGCACACGATGAAAAGATAACAAATTGTATCTGCTGCTTGGCCTTATATGCACATCGTAACTCTACTCACTTAAAAACATAACATTATGTGTGCTTCTGGTTTGCAAACTTTGGAAGGGATGCGACGTTCATATCAAGAAACTATTAACAGAATCCGTGCACAAAAAGGTCCGAAGAATCTCATGGTCTGGTAAATTTGAACAAAATGTTGCAACATCTATGCATTTCGTGATCGCTGATTTTGTAACTTTCCCAAGGTCACAAAGACGCATATGGTACATACGCGTGCATTGCACGGAAAGAAAACTTGCCTCCCCTTGATATTAGTTTCTCATAACTTTTTTAATTATTATTTGTTTATTTGCTTGATTCGTGCAATGATTCCCAGAAACTATGGGTGTTTCACGCTAAGTTCTAGTTTAAAGAATCTACGGATAATTTATTAAGAATAATAAATCTTGTGTGTAATGCGCGCATCTATAGTAATATTAAAAATTATTAGATATAGTTGTTTATAAGCGAAAGGAAAATGAATATGGAAACTCATGTTTGCGGTGTCGGATGAAAGACGCCTTCAATTGAAAGGAATAATAAACAAAATCAAAAATGCTATTAAACGAAATATGGAAATGAAATGAAAAAAATTCCTCATTATAGCAAATGTCAGTTACGAGATTAACGGAATTTGTTGTTTTCCAAACTACTAAGACATATATATCAGCTATCAATAGTAAGTTTCCACTAATTCCACTGATCGTGATCATTTTCAACAAACAAAATATAAGCCAGGAAGAGGAAATTCGTTACAGACTTTTTTCCACGTGCCTCAGCATTTAATAAAATTTAATATATTTTTTATCCATTCGCTGCTTAAATGAATGAACAAAGAACGCAATAAAAAGTTGACTAAAATATATTTAAAAATTTAAACCAATTAAATAGAGAGGGAAATAATTATCGCCAGCAATGTGATGACGATGATGATGCTTACAATATGAAGCCTCTTGTCATTTAGACGGCGAACATTTCTTTGTTAAAGTGCCTTCTCTTTTTTTTTGTTTTTTCTATGAATGTATCTTTAACTTGGCGAATATTTTCTTTTGCTGAAGTTTTAGTGAATTTTTAATTACTGTCGACTTTTCTTTTGTCTTTTGCATACTTGATAAGAAATTATTTTCTTTAGGCTTTTTTTTTACAAGCAGATGAAAATTTTCTTGATTGTTTAATGTTATTGACTCCATCGCTCACCATCAAAAGATCGGGAAAAAAGGTAATGCTGTCATACCGTTCACAAGGCATAAGTTAAAGTAGCGATCGGAGAAATTTAAAACGTTACGGATATATAAATTTATAATTTTATGCGTGTAAAAATTAATAAAAATTTAAATAAATTGCGCCGTATTGATGTTAATCACTAAAACTTACTTACGCATCATTCTTTGCTCACCATTCTCTTAGAGAATACATTATTACCCAATACCACTAGCAGCGCAGAATATATTAAGTTTGTGTGAATGTATGTAACACCCAGAAGGACTGAATCGAGACGCAGCTCTAACTATACCGATTTGATTTTAGAATCATATTCTGAATCGATGTAAGTTTATTCATACAAATTTTCATTCAAGCAAATAGCCGCCATTTTTTTACGCTAGAGCGAA